ACTGGACTGTTGAACTGAAATAATAATAATAATTATAATGATGATATAATAATAATAACTTAATTATATATATGTTAATAATAATAACCTATTATTTCATACCTATGTGTTCCATTTCTACATTTTTGGAAGTTCATATACACTGTATTATGCAGCTGCTTTCATTGCATCAGCTGACTGTAAACAAGATACAACTTTTATGTTATACGCACAAACTTGGCACCTGGTCAAGCTGAATTACAAAATTTCTCTGTTTTAAGCTTTACCCTTAAGCCAAAATCCAGTGCCAGAAAGCTTGTCATTGGCACTGCCAAATGAATAACCAGCTGCACTCTGGTTTCACTGTTTGTTTCAACATCTCAGCCTTCTTGAGAACATGAAAACACAGTATTTTTTCTGGCAGTGTTCATGTGTTCACCTCATTGGGGTTGCTAGAGGCAGGTTGGGGGCTAATAAACCTGAAATAAGAAAATAAAAGAGTTGAGTGTTTTATTTACCTCCAAAATATCAGTGTGGTCAGACACTGGAACAGGTTGCCCAAGGAAGTTGTAGATGCCCCCTCCCTGGAAGTGTTGAAGGCCAGGTTGAATGAGGCTTTGAGCAACCTGGTCTAGTGGAAGGTGTCCCTGCTGCTGGCAGGGGGGTTGGGACTGGATGAGCTTTAAGGTCCCTTCCAACCCAAACCAGTCTATGATTCTATGATTACACACTAAAAAAGTCACAGAGATCCATGAATTTAGCATCATCTGACTAATTAAATTTTTCTTTCATCTTAATTTTCAGATAAATAATGGCTTAAGCAATATGAATTATCCCCACTGATATTTTGCATGAACATACAGTTGCTTTTTCACTGACATCCTGTGAAAGAGGGTCCTGATGAGCTTTATTTTGCTTTACTTGGAATAATTTTGTGCGGTTTTGGTTTTTTTTTTTTTCATAAATGTGACTCAAAACCTTCTAAGTGGTTTAGAAAATGGGAGCTGAAGATTTAGCCCTTCTTGACTTTGTGGTAGTATGTTTCAGAACAGCCCGATTTATCTGTGAACATGTTAAAATAACTTCTAAAAATAGTGTCAATATCTGTTCCAGATTTAGAGACTGCTTGACATGTATGAAATCTGCTTGTTGAGTGTTCCCTCAGCTCAAGAGTAGGGAGTTAAAGGATGAAGAATAGTAAGATACGCTTGTGTCAACTGTTACATGAGTTAGCGGTGCTCGTGCGAGTGGCGTCCGCAAGGAAGATCTGCAGAACTTGGCATCTAGATTAGAAGAAGTTAAAGGAACAGACTGTGGTGGCATTTCCCAGAAGTTTATTTTGCTGCTGAGAATTTAATGGTATTTCTGCTAACAGATTAAAGTCATAGAACAGGTAAACAAACTGGGTTTGCCTTAGTTTTGTTTCTAGTTTTGCAAGCACTTCAGTTGACTTATCCTTCCCTTTATTCAATTGCTTGAAAAGACGGCAAATATACTCCAGCAGTAACTGGGGCAAGCTGAGGAACAGGTCCCTTCCCAATATATATTTCAATATATATTTCAATATATTTGGGTATAATCCAGCTGGGTGTTTGTCAGGGCAGATCGGAACCGAGTGACTCCAGATCACTTCCATGACTCACAGTTCGAACGGAGCAAGGGACCAAAACCTGGTCATTTTGTACTTTGTTGGGTGAACCTGTTCACACGTGTAGGATTTACACACCTGATTCTCATCATTGAGGAAAGCAATGGTTGTGGATGGTCTTGGCGGGTCCCAGTGTCGGGGAACAGATGATGTATTTGAGATACAAATCTCACTTTTTTATGCTTTCTAGAAAAGTAAAATAAGAAATTCAGAATGCAGACTACAGATATCCCTCAGGAAAAAAATTTATTTAATGGACTGCGATTGTGGTAATAATTCTAAAGAAATAATCCCCAACATCTTGATAGTTTCAGAAAACTGGTTTTTTTCCCCTTTTCCTTCAGTATGCTGTTTGGAGATGACAACCAAAAGGAAAATTATCGGCCGCTTGGTGCCCTGCCGGTGTTTTCGTGGCGAAGAAGAAATCGTCTCGGTGTTGGATTACTCTCACTGTGGCCTACAACAGGTGCCAAAGGAGGTTTTTAACTTTGAACGGACGTTAGAGGAGCTTTACCTAGATGCCAATCAAATTGAAGAGCTACCTAAGGTAATCGATGTTCTTAAATGTGTGTTCACCGTGTGCTTCAACTCTGAAATAGCTCTTGAGCAGGGGACCTGCTTGCTGGGGGAAGTCATGGATGTTAACTGGAGAGATTTAGTTACATTTTTACATGTTTTCTTTCTGCCCTGTCTGAAGAACCCAAACAGTTGAGCTGTTCTTGTCAATGATACTGTGTGGGGAGGAGTATGGCCACCTCCTTCTACTTGCTTCATAGCACAAGGAGGCAGCCAGGGAAGTCTGAAGTTGGGAAATTAACAGTTGTTCAAAAGAAAGACTTAAAATCATAGAATGGTTTGGGTTGGGAGGGACCTTAAAGCTCATCCAGTCCCAACCCCCCTGCCAGCAGCAGGGACACCTTCCACTAGACCAGGTTGCTCAAAGCCTCATCCAGCCTGGCCTTCAACACTTCCAGGGAGGAGCAGCCACAGCTTCTCTGGGCAACTTCTTGCACAACGAGTAATTAATTTGGCATTTGATTCCTTGACCAGGAGCATGCTGATACATGGTGTAGGTGATCTTTGAAAAGCAAGCTCTTAGCCTGGATAAGATGTTTATCAATGTAGGAGAAGTACCAGTGCCAGCTGACTAATATTTTTGCAACTGCAAATGAGGTCCTGCAATGAGATTACTGAAGTTATCCTTCCTGTCTAAAACTTTTATAGGTCTTTTAATCTGTTCTTCTGTTGATTAATATTTAATACAAGGAATTAAAAGTTACTGTAACTTAAGTGTTCTGGAAACAAAAGAGGGCAAGGTAGTGGAAAAACCAATTAATAGTAGGTGCTAGCTACATAATGAAGCATGAAGTAATGTAATCCATTCCTTAATTGAATTTTTCTCAACAATAATAAAAGATGCTTACACGTCTTTAATTAAGCAGTGTTCTACTGTAACCCATTCTTCATCATCTCTCAACATAGTTCTTACTTACACTGCATAGAGACGTTATATAAATTCATTTACAAATGTAGAAAACACATTTTTTCCATTACATACTGTTCCTTTCTGCGGAGATGATGGTTCATTGCTGAAGGTTGCTCACTCCATCAGGAGGTTCTTTACAGCTGGGAAGGCAGGGTGGCTACAATCTTTTTAAGTGTCACCAAAAAAAGTGTGATGTGGAGAGCTGCCTTATCTCTCCTGCTCTGAGAAAGGACAGTGGACAGCCAGATATTTTTTCTGTCACCATAAATATGAAAGGTGTTATGGTGGAGGCTGTTTTCCTGCTAATGAATACTTCAGGACTATTTATCTTTTAATAATAACATGTGGCTAACCTTGTATATATTAATATATTTAAGAATATATAAATTGTCTAATTTAGCAAGAGATTTTGGGAGTATTTGGGTTGGGGTCTCTTGAAAGTCTGCATCACCGCGATATTCCAACTAAATTGTAGCATATAATAGAAAACAAATATATCAGGGCATAGAACAGGAGCAATAAACCAGAATTCTGTATGGAAAACCTGAGGGCCAGAGCTGAAGGGTCCAAAATGATGAAATTGGGGTGGTGATAAAATTTCTTCACTGAGAGGGTGGTCAAGCATTGGAACAGGATGCCCTGGTGGAGTCACCATCCCTGGAGGTAATTAACAAGTGTGTAGATGTGGTGCTCAGGGACATGGGTTAGAGGTGGGATTGGCAGTGTTGGGTTTATGGTTGGACTCAATGATCCTAAAGGTCTTTTCCAACCTAAATGATTCTGTGATATTCTATGATCATTGATACTGTCGGTCACAACTGAAATGTGAAATGAAACCTTGGCTCTGGGGGGTGCTATCAGCTATTTTGTGTTTGTTACCTGTGAAACAAGCCAGCAGATAAATAGAGACCTTGGAGAGATTTAAATGTATAGAACTCTCTTTTTTTGCATGTCTCTTTTCCTCATTTTTCTTGGTTATAAATAATACTTTGAAGCCAGTATAATGTATTGAGGAAATTCTTTTAATCAGTCTTAGCTTTGGGTAAATGCATCGTTTAACACAGTCCCGACCTTTGGAAGAGAAGATCGAGAGTGTTAGATTGCTTTCTTTATACCATTCATAATTTTTTGTCTTAAACCTTTATTAAGCATTATCCTAAATTAAACAGCCCCAATAATTTCTTTATCAAATTTTCTGCTTCAGATATTTTTTGCTGCATGTCTTGGAACCTTTTTTCACTCTTGAATTCATATTCTAGGAGAGAAAATGTCTTTTTTTTTTTTTTCTTAAAATGACACCGTATTACTTAAAATTCACATTTTTTTATTCCACGTTATGATCTACCATAGGCAGAACTTTCTTCTCTCTGTAAATACGAATCCAAATCGCTTCTTCCAGAGAAAATGTGTCAATTTTCTGTTATTTACCAAATGTTGTGTGCCTCTGAATTTACAATATTCTTGTGAAATTTTCTCTTATCAGAATGCTTTATCATGTTTAAAAATGTAAGGAAAAAGGCATAGGTAGAAACTCTATTATATAAAGTCCTTATCTACCTAGATACCTGATAACCTAAAATTATTTTGCATTAAACTGATGTATTAAACTCATTCTGCCTGTTTTTTTTTATTTTTACCTTACATTTTATGCACCATAATTGTGCTTTTTCCCTGCTATCTTCATTAAAAAAGGATTTCTAGTTCCTAATTTCTAATATTTTCCTTTTCTTTAAGGATTCATAGGATTGTTGCATTATTCTTATTCTCTATTTTCCCCTAAATCTAGCCAAGTCTTTTATTTTATTTGTCTTTGACTTCATTATCGTGAGCTGCTGCTGCAGGTGAGTCCCTGTCTGTGTGAGTCAAATGAATTGATGACTAATAAAAAAAAATACCGATTTGGATGAAAGTGGAGTCACTGGCAATCAGTGCCCAGGAAAAGATGGAGGAGATGAAAACTCTCCCCAGCAGCTTTCCCTTATAAATATCCAGTGACATCTGGACTAATTTGAAATGGACAAAATTAGTGTGCCATTGCTCACCACCCACCCACCAAGCCCGGCCCGTTCCCAGATCACGATCCCGCAGGAGCCACAATCCCGACCCGAAACCGCAATCCCGGGAGAGCCAGAGCCCGAGCCAAAGCCAGAGAGAGCAAGAGAGGAAGAGCCCCTCATGGATCTCCTGCCCATGGGGGACAGGAGATGGAACAGCCCCTTGGCAGAGCCCAATGCCCATGGAGCTGATCCAGTTCAATATTCCTCCCCCCTGAGATCTTGCGCTTGCAGACGGACAAACACAAAGTCCTTCGACTTCCAGTGACAACTGCAAACATCGGTGTGTGATCAACGTTCTTCTCCTACCAAATCCCAGCTGAACCCAACCCCAGTGCTGTTCCAGCTGCTGAACAGAACCAGCTCTGGCCCAGCTCACACCAGGGCAATGTTGCATTTTCCTCATAGCTGCTGGCACGCTGGGCTTGAAGAAGCTGTAAGCAGCTCTATCTAAAAAACACAGCTGCTTGTTCTTCATACGCAGCACCTCTAACCTTGTGATGAACCTGACTGTGCGATGGCTTTTTGTGACTGCTTCCTTTTCCTAGGGTCATCTGATTGATTTTTCCATCCATAAGGTGTTGCGTGAGGTGGTGATATTTCTTGAGGAGAGCGGCCATGTTAAATAGGTGATTTCAACATGATTTGTGGATTATGTCAGGTTGAAAGGAGGATTGTTTTTTGCAGTGGGAATCCTGACATTTTATAAAATTTGAATTAATAATCCTGAATTTTGGAGGGGACTTAGGAACATACCGTTTTGATAATGTCAAAGCATTTTGTTTCTCGAAGATAGCAAATTTCTTCTGCGTGCAGTCAGCTTGTTTTAAAATGTATTTAAGTGTAAAAATGAAATGTAAATTCATTTCAAGAAATGAAATTATAAAATCAAATGTTTTAATTTACCACAGGCCACTAAAACAGTCAATTGATATGACACATACGAAATATCATGTACCTACAAAATGTCGATTGCAATGATGTGGAGTTTTGGAGAGAATTTGTGGAGTTTTGGAGGGAATTTGAACATTCCT